TTCCATAAGTGGGGCATACTGTGGGAATTTGATCTCTCCCATTTATAAAGCTGTTCGTGCAATACAAGGTAACTGTAACATAGGATCTATGTGCTAGTCATCTTCCCCACAATGTTCATGATTTAATATTGACCTAAGGCATTATGGGAAATTTAAAGAGTTCTAGAACCACCTGCCTCTACTGACAGAGGACATACCGTAGCTAATCAGAGGATGTTTTGCTCTGGGGCCCCCTCAGACTTGGATCACAAGGAATGCATCTTGCCAAACCTAGATTCAAGGGCTTTTAAAATCCTTCCAAATAGATGCTTTGGAGTGCACAGGAGCTCCCCCCCGCCCCAATGATTCAGCTATGAATGCACACACATGAGAAGACAGCCAGGAGCAGCTTTAAAACAGCTGCATCAGTATGGAAAAGGACTTGGTTGCTTTAACTGTTCAAAGAGGTGCATTGTAAATGTTCCTACACATTCTGAATCACCTCTCTTTGAAGGATTTGCACAGCCCTACTAAATTCCATAGTATAAGAAATCTTAGCTGGTGTTTTTTTGTCACATAAGGCATTGGGAAGGTCTTTCTTTAAACAAACAAACATTTGGAAAAACATCATTTTTAATCCATTGAAATGGTATATCATCATTATAAGGTGTCCCGACTACTTTCAGCAAATTTGACAATTCCTAGCTTTCAAAATCTAAGTGGCAGTAAAAACAAGAGGGCTTAGATAAACTGTACATTTCAAAGGCTATATTCTGTATATGTATCAGGCTGAGATCATCCTACATGACAAATATTTATTTATTTAATTAATTAATTTTTCTCCGCCCATCTCCCCCCAATGGGGGACTCTGGGCAGTTCCCCCAAAACATTAAAACCATAAATACATATAAATACATAAAACATCAAAATTTAAATAAAACATTACTAAAAAAGCAGAAGAGAGTCTAAGAAGATAAAGGATCTGGGGCTGAAGACAGCAGGCCACATGGGGCTAGCCATCCCCACACTTGAAGTATTCCCTCCCCGTCAGTCATGTAAAAAAGCAGTTGTTTGAAAGATATGGATACAGTATTGGCACTGAAAAGAAAGTACCACATTAACTGAAAAACTGAAAAATAAGTAAAGAATAAAACTTAGAAACCTCAGAAATTAAGTTTCAGTCATGTCCCTCTCAATAAAACTGCACAACCTCAGAGTTTCATCCTCCAATCACCTAATATTTTAATGGGGAATCTTGGTTCCTTTAGGAGTTAGATCAGTCTATAAATTCTGAACCTTTCTGAAGTAGTGCATTTCAATGTACTTGAAAGGTCCTTCTTCAAGAATATTGAGTGATTATATTCAAGAGCAATTCAGAGAAATAAAAAACCTTTTCAGCAGAATTTTAAAAAGAGAGGAAAGAGTGTGCTTATGTAGATGGGAATGAGAGAGGTTAAGTGGAATATGTGAATTTTCAAAACTTACATCATTCTATAGTTTGCTATGTATGGCAGCAGGGCCAACTTTAGGCTTGAGTAAGCACTGCATAGGGTGCCAAAGTTTAGGGGGTGTCAACGCCACCCTTCCTTCCCTAACAAAGGCTACTCTAAAAATACAAATCTTTGCAATGGTGTCAATTAATGTGGCCTAAGGCAGTTTTTGTATCTAACCATTGGCTATATATATTTCTAAAGATCAGATGGGCAGAAAGATGGGGGTTACACACTGTAAAATTCTATTAGGGTTTTTTTTTTTTCTCTTGTTTTGGGGCTTGGTTTAGTTTTAATGTTTTTTTTTAATTAATTGTTTTTAGTATTGTATGGTTCTTTTCTAGTAGTTATCCTAGGTTTTCATATATTCTGTTTACTTTTTGTAATCTTACTCCTCCCCAAAAAAGAATAAAGATTATGTGGGTGAAATATGTGTTAGTATGAATGAAGTTTTTAGTTAAGAAAATAAATGTTGTAAACTTACATTTGCTTCTACATATCCTGTATCTCCAGATAAATAAAAAAATAAGTAGCACTGGAGGTCTTATAAAAAGCCTCTTTATGACTCTCCCTGTGACAATGGTATTTTTAAAAAATCATGAATCTGACATAAGCAGAAAGGATAGAAACAGGGTTTATATACAGGCACATAATGTATAAAACTATATGTACACAAAGAATGTTTGCATGTGGTTCAGTTTTATTTTGCTCCTGCTCTTCTAAGAAGGAAATGTGAAACAAACCTGAGGTATAGATCATATTCAACTTTATACCTGATCTATCCATATGAAGGTGCAGGTTTATAGGTGACTTCAGGGAAGAAGGTTAGTGTAAGAAAAAACTATATCTAGAGTGCCAGTCTGGGGAACTAATTTCTCCCTGTGGAGATTCTACCTGTGTCTAGCAAATAAAGTTTGGGAATCTGCCATTTGGAAAGGAAAGACTTATTGGTCAATAATTAATGTTCTGATAACATCTAACGGGCAGCTAGGTCACAGCCGCATTCTACTTTCCACACATAGAAAGGAAAAATAGATCCAAATACTGCGCATTATATTAAGTTGATCCAGTTTCTAGATTGAGTGGATCAATAGATGTAGGATTCATAAATCTGACACACTGCAGAAAAATGAAATACTAGAAACCAACTGGGTACTTTAAAGTTGCTTTAGGTTAATTCACACCTCCATTTATACAATGACTTCCCAATCAAATTTTGGCTGAATGTGTGAATTGTCTTAACTGAAAGCATCGGGCAGCAATCAGTGCTGGAGTTCATTCCGAGGGATTTAATTCACTCAGCAGGATTTTCTTTCACTTCTGCATTTACCCAGTATATTCAGGAGGTTTCCCAACCTGAAGTGGGTATGTGGGATCCTATAAGGTGAGAAGCAGTTCCTTCAATGATTCCTGTTCCAGGATGAGGTGATTACGTTCTATGACTGTGTTTAAGGCAAGATAGCTCCCTCTGTCAGATTCAGTCTGTAATGGCAGATACAGACATACACATCTTAGCGTCCATACATGAACTTAACCATATACTTCAATTTACAGATTTAATTAGTGCCAGACAAAGTAGCTCCAATATAGCATTCCAGCTATATTAGGAAAGGGTTAATTTCACATTGGTTACTGGTTGATATTTTCAAACATCAGTTAATGTAAAAACAATGACTGTAACTCTAAGTGACCTTTTTTGGTGGCTTTTCATTTGTGGTATGGAGATGAAATGGTGTGAAAGCATAGTTAATAAAAACTTACTCTTGGGCTCTTGAGTGAAGTGTAAATTGCTTTGTGTTTGTATTGCAATTTCATAAAAGTTATTTTTGCCTCCAAAGTTTTTTCTTGCTAATTTCCCTTTGTCCTAAAAATAATACTGCTTTGCTTTCCTCTTGCAGTTGTGAGATTTTCTTTCATAGGCTTCCTGGATGTAATCAATACTTAAGAGCTGACAATGGCATAACTACATATTGCAATAAGTAAAAAGTGCTTTACATGGACACGTTTAGGCTGCAGTCCTGAATTTTCTTCATAGGAAATAAGGCCCATTGAATGTAGTGGAATACATAGGATTGCACTGTCAGTAGCCCAAAAGAAATGTTTGTTGGGACCATATTTCTATTTACCTTACTCAAGTTATTGGTCAATCCAAATTTATAGCTCGCAAAAAAACTCCTTGATGTTATAATTGAGGAGTTGTTTTTTGAGAAGTCCCAGGTAGGGTTACCAGATATATGAACAGGCAAAGGAGGACACCAGCAATTGGAAAGGAGGACAGATGGGGGGGAGGACACAGTGTTTAATTTTCTTGGCATCTGTGACAAAAATTACAGTGAAAAACTGGGGAAAAAAAGATACTTAGGCCTACATGTATATGAAATTGCTTTTTCTAGCAGCAGAAAGACTGGTTTTTCAATTGCAGGAATGTGCTGGTTAGGAGGCAAAAGCCTTCAGATTAAGGTTTTGTCAATTTCAGGCAGCCGTGCAAGCTGGCAGGAGGGTACTAATCAACTAATTAAAGTCAGAGAGCGAGCTTGTTAACTTGCATTAGCATTTATTAGGGAAATACTGTGCCGCAGAAAGATACCTTGTTAGATACTCAAAAGGCTGGACAATATTTGATTTTAAGGCTATGCCTGCCAGATGGAGAACATGGGACAAAAGGGAAGACATGTCCTTCTTTTGCTAGATGGCTGATAACCCTAGTCTCAGGCCAAGGAGAGCTATTGTATTTGCTTTCTCTAATCTCTGGAATTTCTGCAGATGCAAATCATTGGGTGAGAGCCACTATATTCTGTTTCACTCTCTCATATCCCTTCCTGGGTAGGTATAATTCAGCCTAGGTTATTCATGGCTAAGGACAGAACCCTCTCATGAAGGGAGGACATAGGTCACATCCAGGTCGGATTTGTTTGCTCTTCTCTCTCCCAGAACATGTGACA